ACACAGAGAAGCCCGAGCAAGGTACGTGGGAAGGGGGCGGGGTCTCGCTGGGGTCTCTGGGCTCTGCTCCCGGCACGGCACCACCAGTGGGCGGCTGTCAGAACAGCAGGGCTTTCTTCTTGAGATCGTTCCTCTTCCAGAGGGCCAGGCGGTCGAATTCCTCCATGTTCATCCCAAACACTTCCTGGAACTCCTCGGGCGACAAGTGTCTCTTCAGACAAACAGAACAGAGAGGGACAGTTAGCAACGCAGCAAGGTGTGCTGCCGGGCAGTCCCCCGCCTGGCCTGGCTGTCTGGAGCAGAGTTGGTGGTGAGGTTGGGCGGCCCTCACCGTGCCTGGCCTCCGGGCTGGCCAAGGACAGGGACTCAGCCAGGGATACCCAGTGCCTAGGCCTTGACCTGGGCTTCAGCGAAGGCACTCGTCGCTGCAGGTCAGGTTTATAGACGTGCCCAGACTGGGACACCCACCTGCTGGGGCTTGTCTGAGTCTCGGCCGAGCTCCCTCAGTGGCCCTGCGGGCCACCCACTGAGTGGCCACGGCCGCGTGAGAGCGGAAGGTGGGCAGTCTGCACCCCTGACTTCACAGCCGGTGAGCAGAGAAGCCGGCCGAGGACCAGGTCTGCATGCAGGTTGTCCCGCACCCCCTTGCTGGTATGTGGGCAAGCGGGAGACATCCTGGCTCTCAGAGCCCAGCTTCTCACTGGGGCACCACAGAGAGGCACACCGCTTGGTGGTCAGGGGGTGGACGCCAGGTCCGCTGGGACTGGTTGGCTCGTGGGGCCTCAGTCTGCTCATCTGTACAATGGGGCTGCCCTGATACCCACTTCCTGGAGTGGACAAAGGCGTCAGTGGGTGTCGACCACACTTGCTATGATCCGAGTCGGTCCCAGCAAGCTCTGCAGAGCCCTCCCCACCTGTCACTGCATTTTTCTAAACTTAACTTTTATTTTTGAAAATTTTTTTGAGTTGGAGTCTCACTCTGCCACCCAGACTGGAGTGCAGTGGCCGCCCCTGGCCACAGCAGCCTCGACCTGCTGGCCTCCAGCGATCCTTCCGCCTCAGCCTTCCAAGTAGCTGGAACTACAGGCATGCACCATCACACCCAGCTGATTATTTTGATTTATTGTGGAGACAAGGTCTTGCCAAGTTGCCCAGGCGGGTCTCGAACCTGCGGGCTCAGGCAATCCACTCGCCTCGGCCTCCCAAAGTGCTGGGATGACAGGCTTTGCCACCGAGCCTGGCCAGCCACTGCATTTTAACCTCTCCCTTGCATGTGTCTGCTCCCATGGCTTTTTTTCAATTTTTAGAGACAGCAACTCACTCTGCCACTCAGATTGAGGTGCAGTGGTGTGATCATAGCTCACTGTAGCCTTGGCCTCCAGGACTTAAGCGATTTTTTTCAGCTTTCCCAGTAGCTGGAACTACAGGTGTGTTCCACCACACCTGGAGAATTCCATATGTTCTCATTCATAAACGGACCTTGAACAGTTATAATGCAATTCGAAAGCAACTGGCAATAGTGGGAAACTGTCAGGGGAAGGGGGGTGGGATTGGCAGTTGAGGGAAACTGCTAGGGGAGTGAGGGGCATACCTCCTCAACAAGGGGTACCTGCAGGATCAATGTTTATATACCTAACCCCGAAATGTACCCCATATCTTTATAATAAAAATTAAAAAAAATTTTTTTGTATGATCGGGCGTGGTGACTCATGCCTGTAATCCTGGCGCTTTGGAAGGCCGAGACAAGAAGATTACCTGAGCCCAGGGGTTTGAGACCAGCCTTGGCAACTTGGTGAGACCTCATCTCTACAATAAATCCAAAAAAATTAGCTGGGCAATTTTTGTAGCATGTGCCTGTAGTTCCAGCTACCTGGAAGGCTGAGGCAGATGGATCACCTGAGCCCAGCAGGTCGAGGCTGCGGTGACCGTGAGTGTGCCACTGCGCTCCAGCCTGGGCAACAGAGTAAAATTCCAACTCAAACAAAAAATTTTTTCTTTAGAGAGACACGGCCTCGCTGTGGTCTTGAACTCCTGGCTTCAAGCGATCTTCTTGCCTTGGCCTCCCAAAGTGCTGGGATTTCAGGCATGAGCCACCGTGCCCGGCCCCATCACTCTCCTGTCTGTCTTCCTCCACAGGCTCTGACCCCTATCCCTCGACACTGGCTCACGTGGGCCCAGGCTGGCTCAGGCAGCATTCCCTCCCAGGGAAACTTCCAAGGGTGGGACTTTCCGCCTTTGAGGCCGTCCCCCGGCTCTGCCTGGGAGGGGCAGAGAGAAAGCCCTGGAAGCGGGAAGAGGCCGGGCTCCACCCTGGAACCTTTCTGCCGCCCTGCCGGAGCGGGGCTCCAGTGCAGCCATGCAGAAAGCACTGGGCACCTTCAGGGTTAGCTTGAACAGAGTCAGACGTGTCCGGCCAGCCCCCTCCTCGGCAGACGCTCAAGGATCGGAGCGGGGCCTCCCACGGTCACTTAGGCTCAGGTTCACAGCATCGAAACAACCACAAGGTGGAGACAACCAGGCATCCGCGATGGATGAATGGTACCCAAGACCCATGGAGTCCTGGTCAGCCTTGAAAAGGAACAAAGTTCTGACAGAGGCCACTACACGGAGAGGCCTCGAAAACATCGGGTTCGGTGGCAGAAGCCAGACACCAAGAACCGCCGACGGTGTGAGTCCACGGAGGGTCCAGAGCAGGCAAGTCCATAGTGATGGAGAGTGGGCCAGCGGTAGCCAGGGGCTAGGAGGGGACAATGGGAGGGACCGATTCATGGGAATGGGGTTTCCTTTTGGGGTAATGAACATGTTCCAGAATGAGATGGTTCCAGATGCCTGCACAATGCTGTGAAAATCCTAAGTGCCACTGAACTGTGTGTACACTTTACTTATTTCTGAGTCAGCGTCTTACTCCGTCACCCAGGCTGGAGCGCAGGGGCACCATCATGGCTCACTGCAGCCTCGCACTCTTGGGCTCTGGTGATCCCTCCGCTTCAGCCTCCCAAGTAGTTGGAACTATAGGCACACATCACCAGGCTCCGCTAATTTTTTGATTTTATCGTAGGTCTCGTGAAGTTGCCCAGGTTGGTCTTGAACACTCGGGTTCAGGCGATCCTCTGGGTTTCACCTCTCAAAGTGCTGGGATTACAGGTGGGAGCCACCACACCTGGCAGAATTGTATACTTTAAAATGGCTAACATGGTAAATGTTATGTAATGTGTATTTTACCACAATTAAAAATAAAATTCTTTCTTTCTTTTTTTGAGTTGGAGTCTCACTCTGTCGCCCAGGTTCCAAGTAGCCGGAACTACAGGTATGCACTACCACACCTGGCTAATTTTTGATTTATTGTAGAGAAAGGGTCTCGCCAAGTTGTTCGGGCTGGTCTCGAACCCGTGGGCTCAGGCAATCCACTCACATCGGCCTCCCAAAGTGCTGAGATGACAGGCTGAGCCACCAAGCCCTGCCTAAAAATAAAATTCTTGCCAAAAATGGTTCAGTTTCCTCAACCTTAAAACCAAGCGACTAATACTGAAGCTTATTGTGATGATTAAGACAAAAGATGGCTGCAGAGACACTGGTTGACTGTGAAAAATGTAAACTTCGATCATTGCCATTTGTGTATTTCACAAAAATCACCAAATCCATGTGGCATGCACTGAGTTTCAGAGCCCGGTTGTCAGGGTGATCTGGAGAAGAGAACTCAAGAAACCCCCCAGAATGCCATGTACTCTCTCACACACACACACACACACACACACGCATTCAGCCTCTGCCAGGAAGAGGCCCTCTGTGCCTCCCGCTATCCCAAGTTTGCAAACAGGAAAGGAATCCTGGCGCTTGCCAAAAAGCAACCGTCTGCACGCTGCTGAGACGGGTTTCTTGGTGCGCTGAGAAACCCACATCCCAGTCCACAGAGACTCAGGATCGTCCCTTCAGACTGTCTCTTATGACATTTAAGACATTAACGGGGTCACTGCAGATGACAGCACGGTGCTTGCAGGTACCAAATTCCCACCTTCCGAAGGACCAGGGAACCATGGAGACGACGGAGCTCAAAGGGACATGAAAGCGAGATCACTGTCCCTGCATTCCACAGATACTGACTGGGTGTCTGTGACACGCTGGGCCTGGTTCCAGGCCCTGGGGAAGCCAGGGACGCCAAGTCCCTCGAGGGGTGGGGGTGGAGGGTGATGAAAGGAGGTGTCAGTGATCAAGACAGGGACCCGAGGCGGAAGGGAGGTGGCCAAACCCAGCTCTCCCTGC